CAGTCTCCTGGAGAGACCCCTGAAGATATGGGTTCCATAGCAAAGCTGGGTGAAGATATCAGATGCTGCTTGGCTATCAGGAAGAAAAGCATCTGGGGGTGTAAAGGCTTGTTTTCTCTCGAGCAGCCAATTAAGGGAGGCATCAACTAAGTCCACGTGAGAAGCACACCCGCCTGTGTGTTCGGGAATTGTAAATAATATAATCTAAATCTAAAGGAGTAAATGGTGTAAGAGCTTAAATGGTGAACACTCAGTTTGCTGAGAGCTGTAGATAACAGTGGAAACCCAAAATCCATTTTCAGGGTCCACAAATGGTCAATTCTCTCTGATCACAGTTGAGGGCTATGAAAACTCTGTTATAAGACAAAGATCATTGTAAAGTTCATTACTGGTATGTCAGACATAGTTAAGTCAAAATGTATTATCTTATCATTTGCGCTCCCTTCTGACCCATTTTTAGCTGTTTCAGTTTCTTTTTATTATTTTTTTGGTCAATAAAAGTGAAGGAGATATACATGTGGAGTAAGCCTCTGGGAGATCCCCTCTGATCATGGGACAGGGATGTGAATGCCACTGCTACAATGTAGAACACATTGGGAAGTGGATTGCTACAGGTGCAATCAGGTGAAAATTGCACCCTATCATTTGATTGCCCTATGATCCATTTAAATTTGTTCTAGTTTTTAATATGTTCTGCTTACTTTTCTATTGAGGCTGTTGGCTGTTTTACTTTGTAATTCTTATTGATTTTTGTTGTTGCTTGTTTGTTTTTCATTGTTTTTCTCTATATGAAATCCAGGAGAGGTGAATGTATAGCTAATAACTGGATTAGTGGTTGCTTGGTGTGATGGCAGCAGGGACAGTGGGGAAATGGAAAGATAATAAGGATGAGTATAGGAATGAAGAAAATGTTCTAAAACTGATTGTGGTGATGATTGTACCATTCTTCATGTGATTGAGCAGTTGAATTGCATATGTGAATTAGAGGTCACTAAAACTGTTGAAAACACACAGAATCAAACTCCGTATCATACTAGACAAATCTGCTGCAAAAGATCTCTTTAAAGTATGGCAAAGAAATGAAATGGTGCTTGGTATTAGGAAAAATTATGCCTGCAGTCTTAGAAAATTGTCTTGGAACAAGCAGCCATCTGAGTCAGTTGTCAACAGATCCCCAGAGAGGAAGCACACAGATTTATGTGATCTGAGGATTAGGGATGATAAAATCCAGAGGAGGGACTGATATCCAAGCTTAAATTGTGAACATCTGGTTTGCAGTTTGACAATGGAAGCCCCAAATCCATTTTCAGGGTCCACAAATAGTTTAAACCTCTAATGAATCCCCTCTGACCATAGACCAGGAATATGAATAGCCTTCCGATCATTCAGAGTGTAGTGGTTTTCTTGGTTTTTCTGTGTTTGTTTTTCCCCCCTTCTGCATATGAACTCCAGGATGGGTAAACCTGTAGAGACAGTGATTGCATTGATAGCATCTGGGGGCTATTGTGGGGGATGTTGTTGGTGAGGTGGGGAGCAGATGACAATGAATACAAGAGGGAAGTAAATATTCTGAAATTTATTGTGGAGATTATTGTACAACCTCTTTAACATGATAGAACGTTTGAATTGTATGATATGTGAGATACATGCCAATAAACTTTAAAACGAGAGACCCCAAAAAAGCAAACTTGTCCGTTTGAAGACTAAGTTGTCCCTAACCCCAACTATTTGTTTTTATTCATTTTTTATGAATGAAAACTCTAGACAATAAATAAGGGAAAACAAATAAGAATTGATGACTTTGATTTACGATGTTGGTGAAAAATGTTAAATATACCATGGACTGCCAGAATAACAGAAAAATCTGTCTTACAAGAAGTACAACTGGACATACCTTGCAGAGGGATAGTGGGGAGGAGATGAGTCACTTAGGGTTCAGTATAGCAATAATGAAACCCACAAACTTCCTCTAGTTCTTCAATGCTTCCTCCCCCCAACTACCATGACCCCAATTCTACCTTGCAGACCTGGTTAGACCAGAGGATGCACAGTGGTACAGATGGGAACTGGAAACGTGGGGAATCTAGGACAGATGAACCCCTCAGGACGAGCGGTGAGAGTGGCGATACCAGGAGGGAAGGGGGCGTAGAAAGGGGGAATCAATCACAAGGATCTACATATAACCTCCTCTCTGGGGGATGGGCAACAGAAGGGTGGGTGAAGGGAGACACCAGGCAGGGTAAGATAAGATATAAAAATAATTTATAAATTATTAAGGGTTCATGAGAGATGAGGGAGGGGGGAGGGAGGGGGAGGGGAAAAAGGAAAATAAGCTAATCCCAGGAACCCAAGAGGAAAGCGAATTTTGAGAATGATGAGGGCAACAAATGTATAAGTGTGCTTTACACAATTGATGTATGTATTGTGATGAATTGTATGAGCCCCAATAAAATAATTTTTTTTTAAAAAGTACAGTCAAAATGCCCCCTGGAAGCAAGGATTGCAAGAGCTCATTGCACATACTTTGGTAATGTTATCAGTGTTGACCAATCCCCGAGAAGGACGTCATGCTGGTAGAGAACCAGCACTAAGAGGTGGATTTTCAGCCAGATGAATTGACACCGTGGCTGCAAAACACAGGCTCACACATAGCCTTCATTGTGAAGATGGTATAGGGATGGTCAGTTTTTCCAGATGTTCTAAGATTGGGTTTCTATGAGTTATAACCAACTAGACAGAACATAACAAAGCAAACTGTGAGTCCTTTGATCTACTAAAAACCAAGAAAAACAAGCAAACAAACAAAACGCATCTGTCTGAGAATAGAAGATCAACAATTACTATAAAATGAAGATAATGGGGCAGAGGTAAAAGACCCATGGAATGCAATGAAAGAGAACGTAGACTGTGAAAAATGTAACCAATGTCACTGGGAAGTTTTATAGAAACTGTTAAATAAGACTCTAATTTACTTATACTCTCTCATCAAAGGCAAACATATATATTATATATATAGAGAGAGAAATTGTTAAATAAGACTCTAATTTACTTATACTCTCTCATCAAAGGCAAGCATATATATATGTATGTATATATATTTATATATATATATATA